CCTCCTCCTCCGTCGCCTCATGTCGACCCCGCGGCTGCGCCCTTGGCCGTGGTAGCTGACTCTGTGGCACTGAGGGAGCGACGACTGGGCTTCTAGATATAATTTTAATTTTTTTTTTTCTGGACATGTAATACATTTTTCTTATTCTTGTAAATGCCCCCTTTTCACATTTGCTCTTTTTTTAAGTTTCCTCCCTTACCTTTCTGGCTATTTTATTTATATGAAATCTATCAGAAGACAAGATAAATGAATTTGGTTTGGTTTTTTTTTTTTTTTTCAATGACAAGATGTTTATAGCGTCTTCTGATGTCTCCAGTGACTTTTGGTGCCAAAGTTATTAGAAATCTGAATTTGTGGTACTCTTGTGTTGCGTAAGTTCAGGCTCAAAGAATGCACTAAAAATGCTGTTCTTTATTCCTGTTTTCTTGACTGCCTTATGTCTTCTGATAACTTCCCAAACTTACCCTGATCCTGGCCATCTGCAGGCTAGGCAGCTACTGTGAGAATCATAAAGCATGAGTAGTGAATGAAAAACAGAACAATTGCGTAATTAACGGTGTGGGCTGAAGAGAAAATTGTTTAAAAGTAGAACATTATGCTGCAGCAGCTGAGTAATTAAATCCTGCCCTTGTAATGCTCTTCACTTTTTCTGTACAGTGCCCTGACTGTACTTCAAGTCATCCAGCGGTTATAAAATGCTGTAGTTTGCGTGGCCTAAAATCACATCTTACTCAAATGGCCTGTTTGTCTGCTTAATTAACTTGGAAAACTCTTGCTCTTTGTTACTCTATATCTCAAAGAGGATCAGATCTGGGAGAAACAGATTAGGCTGAAAAGTTACTCTGTGTCCATCCTCCTGAACTTGAAGATACGACTGCAGCAGAGGACGGTATCCTATCTGAGGTAGCGAGCTATCTTAATTTGGCAAGCTTTTTTTTCATTCTTTTTGTTCTTTTACACTTTACAGAAACGGAAGCTCCAGTTAAGCCCAGAGCAATGTAGCAACTTTTATGCAGACCAATATGGAAAAGTGTTTTTTCCTAATTTAACAGCCTATATGAGTTCTGGACCTTTAGTTGCTATGGTTCTTGCTAGACACTGTGCAGTCTCACACTGGAAGGAATTGCTTGGACCATCAAACAGCATACGAGCTAGGAGAACTCACCCTCACAGGTAACTCACTGATTGGCCTTGGGGAAGTCAGTATGATATTGCCATTATCTCAATTTTTTTTTTTTCCCTGTACAGTAAAGATGCAGATTTGAAGTGGTTTTTTTATCTCTTAAATTTTGTCTAACATATCCTTTCACCTTTCTTTTTTGGTATGTAAAGTTCACCCATTTTATGAGGAATGCTAAGTGCATGAACAGAAATTTTAGGTAGCTACTTATGTTGTTTAAAAAATAAAATCAAGCCAATGCTTTGTTAATTAGTCTATATATATTGCTTTTATATGCTCTCAGAATGCAGAGACTTGGAAGGGATTTGCAGTTGCCTACCAAGCAGTTATTTCTCTTATTTTTAGCTTAAGAGCAATCTATGGGACTGATGATCTGAGGAACGCACTTCATGGCAGTCTCAGCATTTCCTCAGCAGAAAGAGAAATTCGATTCATGTTTCCAGAAGGTAAAATGGTACAAATAATACATTGTCAGTCTTTGGCAGGATGATGCCCTTCTCGGTTATTACTTGTCTCTGTCCAGACTCTAGATACAATTCAATTTAGAAGTTGGGTTTGTTTACTTTATGAGAGAATGTGAGTTTCTTTATGTATAAGCTAGTATTTTCTGCCATGAAAAGCATACCAAAATGTATCTGAAGAGCCATTATAGTTAGAGGAGTTGCTTCCACTTTTCAAACTTTGTGGTCTGGGAACTGGAGCAGACAAAGCTGGTAAATTAGAGGAAATGGGAAGATATTACATTCCAGCATGTCTTTCTGGCACTGTCAGCCCCCGGGACTCCTGTTGGCTTGAGAATATTGACTGTCATCTTGGGCTCAGGCTGAGTAATTCCTGTTCAAGAGCAGCTGGATGCTCACATGATAGCGCAATTCCAAAGTTAAGTGCCAGAGAAACGGGCCATAGAACCTGCAAAGGCTGGGAGAGGATCTCTTGTTTTTAACGTAACAGTTGAAAGGTGGCTTTGCTCTTTGACAGAAAGATGCAAGGGAAACTGCTAGAAAAACTTGTGGTTTTTTGTCAACTGTATCAGTTAGTTTAATAAAAGATGTTGCACTTCCCTACAAACCTTACCCATTGTAAACCATGTCTCTTCTCCTCACCTAAACAACAAAGCAGGACTTAAGGTGGGATTTTTAGGGCCTTCAGGAACCAGCTTCACAGTGCAAGAAGGAAGTACTAGACATGGGATATATTGTTTCTCTCCTGCCCCAAATGCATCTTCAAGGACATAGGTTTTCCCCAGATGATCTGATTTCCTCCCTTTTCATAATTGGCTATAATTAGTACGATTACCTCAGGGACATTGTAAAGGGCGTTAGGTAGTTTGTTTGCAGTTTGTTGTGGGAGAAGCTATAAAAACCATTATGTATTATTAACTTATTAAGGAAAACAGCAGCTCATATATAAACAAAACTTGAAAGAATGCCTTTTTTTAATCACTCTGCAAGCTGCTTTCCAACAGCTGTGGTTACTCTTTACAGTGATCTTGGAGCCCATTCCAGCTGGACAAAGAGCTCGGGATTACTTGAACCTTTACATAAAGCCTACGTTACTAGCTGGGCTCACTGCACTGTGTAAAGAGAAGCCAGCAGATCCAATGGTATGTACGGTATATCAGTATTGTGTTGTATGCTTTGTGATACATTTACTTTGTATTAGTAAAGTCCCTGTATATAGGAAAGCTACTCTTTTGTTAAAGAGGTGTGCTGTGGTAGCTACCTGCTAATGAGCTAAGCAAATAACATTTGCCTTTCAAGAAGCTGATTGGTTTGTTAACAGATGAAATGAGGGCCAGGACAAAATGAAATCAGCCTTGATGAAATGACAGAGGTTTTAGGTGACTTCTAGAAAACTCTTTCTAACATGTAGTTGTTACAGATGGCTGGAAAGGTAAATAGGTACTATCATATGATGTCAAATATAAGTTTTTACTTTATTTGCTGTCTCTGAGGTGAGTTTGATATGAAATAGCTCTCATATAATAGATACTAAGCGAGACTAGGTGCTAATCACAGTGGTAGTAGTTACACAGCTGAGTAAACTACTGTAGAGTTCTTAGCAAGGCTGTCTATATTTTGTCATTGTTATGTTTACTTAAATTAATATTATCAATCCTCCTTTAGGATAAGCTATTATTTTGACTATACAGCATTGATTAGCTTTTACTTGAGTTGTTCCACAGTTCACCAGGAAAACGTATTATGATTCTTTTGAGTGATGCCTATCTTGAATAGTCAAACTGAGCTACAGAAAATTCTTTTGTCTTTTTGTGATCCCTCTGTAGTTATCAAGCTGATGCATCTTGCCCTCCTCTCACATATTACTCCTTTTAACCATGGATGTAATTCAAATTACAGTTCTTAGTGGAAAGACTAGAGTTAGTTTCCTGCTGGTTTTTGTTGTGGTTTTTTTTTTTTTTTTTGGTCCCTAAACAAAATTAACTTGTTTTCATCTGGAAAAATATGGTAAATGTTTTTTGTATTCTTAAAGTTCAAGTCATTCACACCAGTACTTCTTTAAGAACACTAATAATTAACCAGTGTGACAACTTGCTGGCAGTTGTGGTGGTTTCTACATCATTATCAGGTTTTTTAATCAACATTGCATTTTTCTAAAAGATACATTTCAGAAAAAAAGCCTGAAAAATAATTCAGGAGTGTTTCTATGAACTGTGTGGTATACATGAGGTCGGATGAAATGTACTTTGGTTGTTCCAGCTTTATAACCCCTTTACTTTATCTGTATATCGGGCACTGTTACCATAGAAATCTAGAGAACAGAGATGAAGTCTTTTCATCCATCCCTTTGCCCAAAGGCCAGACCAATTGTATCTAACCATTCCTAACAAATGTTTGTCTGGCCTGTTCTTTAGCACTGCAAATGATGGAGAATCTACAGCCTCCCTAGGCAATCTGTTTCACTGCTTAATTATACTTGGTTAAAAAGCTTTCACTAAAAGTTAGGCTAAATCTCCTGTGCTCCAATTTTAAGCCCATTACTTTTTTTTTTTTCCTTTTACTATCCCCAGAGGACATTGGAGACAATGTAATATCTCCTTTTTTTTCTTTTTTTTGCAGTAACCTATTCCATATTTGAAGAGCATTACCATCTTTTTTCTCTTCAGTCATCTCTTCAATATATGAAAACCTGATTTTTTTCACTCACCTTGTAATTTATGTTTCCCTAAGTCGTTGTTTGTTTTGGCTTCCAATTACTCTGAGCACAATTTTCTAGCTAGTTATGTGGTAACTAATAGTAACTTCATCAAGACCATGCTTTCCTTTCTTGCTTGTAAGACAGCTGTATGAAGCAGTGTCAATAGCTTTACTAAAATGAAAACACAATATTTGCTTATTCTTTCCTGTCCATAAGGTCTGTGACCTTCTAACAGAAGGAAAATAATGTCGATTTGATACTACTCTTTTTCAGAAATATATGTTGACTATTGCTTTTCAGTTTGTTATCTGCCAGGTGACTTACAGGGAGATTGATGGAACTTTTTTTTTTTTCCTAGTATCCTTCCAGGAATTGAAGAGCTGAAGTTGAGATGATTTGGTTCTTTCTTCCCCTCTCCCTCTCCTGCCCCCCTCTTTCTTTTCGAAGGTGGCATCAGAAACTATCTGTCCACTCAGAAATACTTGCTGGCAGCACAGAAGTTGTCTTGGCCAATTCCCTAACTAACACAGGGTAAATTTAATCAGGCTCAAATGGTTAAAAAATTACCATAAGGTGATTTCAGTGCAGAAGACTGGCACTTTTAATGAATGATTACCAGATAAAGTATCTGTAACTGTTGTCAGGAGTAATATTTCATTAAGCAGTTTCATACGTATTGTACAACTTCATTCCAAACCAGAGTTGACCGGATTATTTGAAGTATGGCTCAAATGTTCTTATACTTACACAAAGATAGACATTGCCAGGAAAAGTTGTCTTCTAAAGGTCAGTGTGAATTGATCAAAAGCAATATAAGCTGTGAAGATTTAAAAGAACATTTTGAAAAAACAGGTTATTTGTATGTCCATTTTTTTTGAAAGGGCTTTGTTTTGCAGCACAGTAGGAGAGTGCCTGTAATGGGAGGTTTCAAATAATGCTTTTAATATTCTCCCATATATTTAACAGCAAACTGAAAGTGTTTGGGTTTTTTGTTCCACAGACTTGGCTTGCTGACTGGTTGATTGAACACAACCCTAATAAACCTAGGCTGCAACATCACGTCACTGTGGAAGAACATCAAGGGTGAGAGCTCAGTGGAAACCGTCTGAAGCATTCCGAGCTACAGATATATATTATCATTTTCAGTGTATCCCTTAGCTATGTAATCAATATTATCTGAAGTAAATGTTATTGTCATAACTACCTGCATCTTCATGGGATGAATAACCTTACACTTCACTGGGATATAATAGTTCTAGTAGCTTTTCTTTTGACAAAGTGAATGTAGAAATACATGATAAATTTATGGTGTCAGGTGATTAGAAAAAGACAAAATTCTCAACGGGTGTGACTTAACTGCTATTTTCCTCATCTGTCTTGGTTTGGCTCGCTGGGGAGAACAAAATTATTTACACTAGTGCAGACTCCCAAATGACATACAGCTGGCCTGTGCTTTGTGAAACTGAGAGCTGTATTTCTGCAGTTTTTTAGCAGACACAAATTCCATTATGAAGGGAGGTATTTGGGTGTAACTTAGAAAACAATTACTGGAGGCATATTGGCAACTTTAGAATTTTAATTGCTGATTACATCGCCAAGCTAAGGTCATGCTTGAAGATGATTCACTTGAGTCTGACATATTTTGTCAGGATGTAATTTGAAGGACTTATTTGAAGGTACGTTGAATGTACTTTTCCCATCTCAGTGGCGAAAGGCACAGTAATTATAAACCAGTCTTTGATTTCCATTAAAAGTCACAAGAAGGTGTATTTTAGTCAAGGACTAACGCTGTCTTCCAACATTTGCTTGAAAGAAAGGTGCTTAATTGGAACAGCTCACCTTAAGGGTGTTTTCTGTGTTGTCCTACTCTTAAAAGGTATGCTGATTTCTGTTGTTTTCCTTGTATTGTTGTTTGCCCTTGAACTTTAATGTGTTCTATTTGAGAATTTCAAGAGAATGGGTTAGGGGCCGTGCTATTGAACAGGCAATGGGTTAATCCTGCACTATTACCTTTTCTGAAGTAACTGGACTGTTTTTGCGGGGGAGGGCGTGGGGCATTTTATTTTCTTCAAAGAGTTGTACTTGCACTGTTAGCTTCAAGCTTTGTAACTTATGGTTTGACTGGCTAGGATGGAGAAAACAATGTCATTTTCACAACTCTGAAATGTCAGTATGCTTGACTAGTGCTAAACAAACAAGCAATTTCATAATTTGTTTCAAGAAAAAACTTGCTCCCCTAACTTGAGTAATTACCAGAAACATAAGTCATTTGTCTGTAACATTAAACTTTGTTTAAGCTAATTGTTTATCTTCTCAGTGGAATAAACCACTATTGCCAGCCCAGAGAATAAATATTTAGAAAACTGGTCCCTACAGTGCTGAGACCTAAAAATCCTGGGACTTTTAGGATAAGAAAAAGAAAAAAAAAAAAAAAAAGCCCAAACCCTCAAATATGAAGAAGAAAAAATGAGATGGTTAGAAACACAGTAAACGAATCCATTTACAACTAATTTATTTTGCCTATAATTATTGTCCATTGCATTTTGTGGTTTCCTGTTGGCTGAACCAAAAACCTTCTTTTTTCAAGGTGCCAGAAACTAAAACCTGGTGAATCCACAGACACTCTCCTGTATTTTGTTAGTTACTATGTCATTTGCTTACTTATTATGATGTTATACTGCTTGACAACAAATATCTCCTTTATGTTACTGCTGGAGTTTTCAGTTTTGCTTTTGTGACAGACCTGTGTTGTATTGTGTCTATAGAAGATCGTAACTTCCATATGTGGGTCCGTACCAGGAGGGGTAGGAGAAAGGGCAAAAGCAGCTGATGTTGCAAATGTTACCTTTATAACCCATGCAATATAAAGTTTCTGTTATTCAAGTGTATGTCTATCATGGATTTATTCTCTAATATTAGAGTTAACACCTTCAATTGCTGGCTCCTGTTCATTTTTCTAAGGGAAAGGTAGAAAGAGAGAAGATACCTTCATCCCTTGGGTGCCATCCTGATTCACTGTATCTGTACATCTAGGAGCAGTATTGATCCAGCAAATCCCACAGCTGAGATCTTGAGGAACCTGCATTAATAAGTAGGATGTGGGCAGGAGGTCAGTCCCGGGAATGTAAAATGGACAACCAGCCTGGTCCCCTGGGGGAGCTGTGACACCACAGGAGCAGCTGTTGGAGGACATGCTGCTTACATTTCTTTTGGTCTTTAGGTTTTTACTTGGCCCAGAGTGGGACAGGCTTGGCCAGTGTTATAAATCCGTATCACAGAAAACATAGCATTTGAAAAAACAGGTGAACTGAAAGGTGTCTTACCATTTGGTGTCAGCAAGGTACGCTGCTCTGTGGGAACGAGTGACCTGTCTTCTCCCTCTGTAGAGTCAAAATAATTACCTTCCCTATTGAGTTTTATTGGGTATTTTTAACTTTGAGGGAGTTCATTTTAGTTTTACTGCCTGAGTGCTGGAATAGAGCTATGTCCATAAAACCAGCAGTTCAGTCTGTTTCCCATAATTCTGTTTTTTCAACAGACTTTCTCCTGGAACTTTGCTTATCATATGTTTGTTATCATGTGTACTGGAAGTTATTCTTGGAACTATACAGATCGAGCTAGTCTGAAGTATATGATTGTTCAGCCTTGCTGTCTCATAAGGGATTTATTATCTTTAAGAGCAGTTAAACTGCCAGGAACCTTGAACCTAGTTTAAAGATAGCAGAAACCTCAATGAAAGCCAGTTCCCCATTGCCTACATAAGTCAGAGCATTCCAGCATGCTGAGCTTCAGAAATGAGTCGCTGTTCAGAGCTTACGACTTTCATTCAGCAACTTTGACCAAAAAAAAAAAAGTGTAACATAGAGATTTGCAACCCCTCATCTTTCTTGCATAGGAAAAGAAGAGAGGATTTGTCTGTCTTCCTTCATTCAAGCTGTTAATCTTGACTATCTTTTAAACAACAGTCATCTAAGCAAAATTGGTACATTGGTGATAAACTGATGGATGTTTGTCTTATGGCACTATATGAAGGGAAGGAGTTTCTCAAACTCTTACTTTTTTCAGTGCCGTATTAGAATGACAGATTCTGTTTAACGACATAAGGGTCATCGTTAATTTTAATACGTTAAGTCGAAGCAGTCAGATCAAGATAATTTGTATTATTCTGGACAGTAAATTTTGGTTGGTTTTGGTGCTACTGAACAACAGTGCATAGTCTGAAAATACTGTGGTTTTTCAATTTCCTTTTTATAAAAATCTGAAGAGTAATTATTTTTATTCTGTTGGAAAGAGACTCTTTGCACATCATAAAAATGTATCTTGTGATTGTTTTTGCAATACTATTTCCTTTCAGATGCAAGTCAGTATGGGACTTCAGTCCTCTCTACTGATTATCTGCTGAGTTGCTTTATCCAGCAGATTTGGCTCAAACCAGCATGGCAATGTTGCAAGGACCTTCACAGGAAATATCTACTGTTAGTAAAACGGAAAAACCTTCCATCTTTCGGATGGTCAATCAAGAGCAACTGCCTGTACCTAGAGATCTTCCGTAGTCTGGATGAGCTCCTCTGGGTGTGGCGTGTGTCAGCAGCGTGACTGATGTGTTGAGTCTCCTTGGGAGGATGCCTGTCAAATTATTGTTATGCTGCCTCCTGCCAAGTGATCGTGGAGGTGCTGCCATAAGCTCAGGGGAGAGCCTATTGTTGGTCTTCTGAGCCAGAAATGAAGCATTGTTGTAAGCCGAAGCAGTTGGTGGGAGAAGAAGACAGCTCGCACACAAGTGGGTGAATGATACTCTAATAATGATAACCCTGAAGGATGAAGAATTCTCTTGACTTTACTGCTTGTGAGTGTTCTACAGCTAAGGGAGGTGATGCTTTCATACAAAGTACTTCATGTAGTGCCTTGCTGGGTGTGCTTGCATTTGTCTTGTATAGCATCATGTTTTGTCCTCCAAGAATGCCTGACTGATTCATTCTTGCTTAGCTGTGGTACTATTCTGAAGCATGAATATTTAAAAAAAAAAAAACAAAACAAAAAAAAACAAAAAACCAAACCCAAAACACTAGTACCATATCTGCAACTTCTGTGCCATCATATATTTACTTTATTTAAAAGTCTTCTCACCTGGGGTTTCTGAGTCAGCATGGATGGATCTTCTGCATTACTAGAGAAAACTGTGAAAGGCAGTTGGATGCAGTCTGTCAGGCACAGACTGCCTGGGCGAGGAATCATGTATGAACTCACCCTAAATTCCAGGGAATTTGGCTCTAAATACTCTTGGGTTTAGTAAACTACCCTGCAAACCACCCATGCTTCTTTATGATCTATTTATAGTCAAGGCCTAAGCTCTCATTTCCTTGCAAGGGGACAGTTGGGTTTTTGTTATGTTTCCAGAATCTGCACTGATTGTCAGGTTAGGAAATTCTGCACTTCCAAAAGCAACATCTTATTGCCATGCTGGCTATCGGTTCTTATCTCTTGTAGGTGTTGTAAAGTTTTTTCTTACTGGGTTTTTGTGTGAATGACGGCAATGTTTTGTACGTATTTAGTTCTGTGTCAGGCCTCGTCTCTCTATGTGAGAAAATTCCCAGGAGTATTTAACATACGCGTGCGGATAAATCTCCTTCATGCCCCATAAAGTACTTTACTATGGGCCAATATAAAGCAGTCATTACAGGGTGATGTTTAAACTTCTGAGATTAACACAGTCTCTCAATTGCGCTTACTTATTTTTATAATGTGTAATTTAGCAACTGAACCGTGAAAAGTTATGGCATAGCAACGTCTTCTTAAAAACAGTGGTTCCATCTGTGCTTTCAGTTTGTTTCATTGTAAACCCAGAGCAATTTCATTCTCTTAGTTAAAAGAAAGAAGGAAAATGGGATCATTTCTGGGAGCTGAGATGGTATGTTATACATACATCTGAAATGTATTGTCAGATGTGGGCACGGTACGTTCTCCACTCCTCTTGAAAGCAAAGAGTTTGTGTCAGATTTCTCTGGAGCTAGACTTGGACAATACTGTTTTCTGCATGCAGAACACTCTGTCATTTGCCATTTTGCTAAGGGAGTTGTGCAATGGTGTTTTTGCCTGGACCAGGAAAGTTTGATCAAGCCTCTGTTAGAAAACCAGATCCTTTTTTTGTGGCTGCCATACATCTAGATAGCTGTGAGATCATTCCTTGCTACTTACCACTT